GCTTGAGAGACTTGAACTTGACTATAGGCTTTTGAGGGAGTCACTTACAGAGAAAGGTGAGCTGACAGTTCATTGATGGAATCAGATCCCACAAGGGGATAATATTAAAGCATAGGCATGGGATTTAACCATTTTTTCTGTCTTTTTTTCACTTAAGTCTAGGCTTAGCTACATATAACAAAAAATCAAAATAATTATACCTTACATAGAAGATAATTTGTCTCCCATATTACAAAGAAGTATTCCTGGGCCTTAGGGGAATAAGTTACTTTTATCTTTTTATGCTTTCCATTTTTAGATCAATTTATGGTTTAAGGATGTCTGCTTGAGATTCAGCCACCTCAACTGAGTTCCAAACAGGATGAAAGAAAAGAAGGAAGGGAAAAATAGTAGATCTCCCAGTTAAGTCAGCCTCCTTTAGGGTACTTTCCTGAAACCCCACCCACTGACTTCTGCTTATTTTTCATTAGCCACTCCAAGCTTTAAGGAGGGCTGGGAAATATAGTATTTTGCTTTTTTCTTCTATTAAAGTAAATTTCTATTAGAAAGGAAGAAGAAAAAAATGAACATTAGGTAGAAAGTAGAAGTTTTTCTCCCAGGAGGAAAGCAAATATATTTGCAAATGTAGATTCACTTTTTGATGCAAGAGAAGGAAATTGAATTAGTTAATGTCAAATAGATTTGGAATTTTTGTGAATTTATATGACAAAGTCATCAGAAAAAGGGGATAAGCTCAGAGACCCTGAGAAGAATGATAGATGATTTGGGATAGTGTTATGGGAAATTGAAGAGACTGACCAGACTGGCACATAAAAGAGTGTGGAGTGGTGCTGAGGGCCTAGCAGGAGTTGGAGATCATTAAAACTGAATAGCTGTGGGATTTTCTGTAGCAGTATTCAGCACACCAGATACAGGAGCATGGTTCATTCATTCACTGTTGTGTGTATTGGGGATGGGGATTGTGGGACATAGAAAGATTTAAGGAAGAGAGAAATTATTTTTTTGCAGGCAACAGTCTGCTGGGAGGAGAAGGAATATTAAGCAAAAGAATGGTAAAGGAGACAGGATGAGATATGGGAACAGATGAGGCATATTGGGAGATCCAATAAACCGATTTGGCTGAGTGGGAGAGCTAATGTAAGGCTATAATGGAGAGGGGTGTTGAAAGGGTACATCTGATAAAGATTGGATAAAGTTCAAATTCCTTAGCTTTGAATTCTAAGCCATGCCTTTCAGGCAATGAAAATCTGTTGAAGGTTATTGTGCAGGAGATTTTGATTAAGAAGATTAATGTAGTGGCAATGCTCTGAGGATGAGAGGGAAAGTAACTGTAGGCAGGAAAACTGGTTTAGGAGGCTGGCAAAGGAATCCAACATTCAGGGGACAAGATAGAAAGTCACTCTCTCTGTGCTCCTGGCTCTTTTCACACTATGGAACTTTCACTCCCAGTTGTGAATATTTGCATACATTTTATTCACCCAATGGTTTCTTTCTCCTTCCCTCCTCCCTCTCTCTCTTTTCTTCTTCCCTGCAACTCTTTCTGTTTTAATTAATTCAAAAAATACTGAGTATTTACGACTAACATATCAGACATCATAAGGGGCACTGAAGATTCAGAGAAGGGAATCTCTTCTCCTAGGAAAACAAACAAATAAAGGAACCAAGAGGAGCTTGACAAGCAACCAAGGAGAAGTGTGTGCCAGGTTTTAGGGGTGCACAGAGTAGGGGTCTCTAATCTATTAGGGCAAAGAAGATGATGCTTGAACCTAACCTAGAAGAATGACCATGAAGTCATGAGGGGAGCAGGTCGAGGAGGATGCAGACATGTGGCGGGGAATAGGGCCTCAGCAGCTGCTGGTGGTTGATGAGTTATGTCACAGGAAGCTTGGGCAGGAGCGAGGGACCATAAGGCTAGAGGCATTAGCATGGCTTTGTGTGTCTTGCTAAGGAGCTAAGGTTTATTCTAAACATGTGGGAGGTTCTTGAAGGATTTTACATAGAAGAATCATATCAGATTCTTTTTTTTTTAAGAGTCAGTGACACTGAGCATTTGTATCTCAGTCTCTGGAGTCAGCTTGAGACTAGGGTGTCACTCATGGTTCAGCCACATGGTGGTGGCTGTGTGACCTTGGGCAAGTAACCTAACCTAAGCCTCAGTTTCTTCTCTAAAATAATCAAGACATTTTTATTTTGTGAGAATTAAATGCTGTATCATTTGTAACATTCTTGTGTTATTTTTGTTAGATATTAACAGTTCATAATTGTACATATTTATTGGGTCAAAGTAATACCATGATATATGCACATAATGTGGATGTGATTGACATTATTGCTCATTAACATAACCATAACCTTAAATATTTATTTTTCCTCTCCCATGGAAACATTGTACCCCTTGACCAGCATCTCCCCATTTCCCCCACCCCTCAGCCTCTGGTAACCATCATTCTGCTGTCTGCTTCTATGTGTTTGATTTTTTTTTTTTTTAGCTTTCACATATAAGTGAGAACATGCAGTATTTGTCTGTGTGCCTGGTTTATTTTACTTAGCATAATATAATATCCTCCAGGTTCATTCATATGGTCATAAATTACAAGATTTTCTTCTTTTTTGAGGCTGAATAGGACCCCTTATGTTTATATGCCACATTTTCTTTATTCATTCATTGGCTGATGAACACTAAGGTTGATTCCATAAGGTGGTTATTGTGAATGGTGCTACAATGAACACACAAGTGCAGATATCTGTCATACGTCCTGATTTCAGATCCTTTGCATCTATACCCAGGAGTGGGATTGCCAGATCTCATTTCTAACATTCTTAGCACAGTGCCTGACATGTAGAAAATCTCCCAAAAGAGATAATTACTTTTACTAGTATTCATATAGCTTCAGTCACTGTTACTATTGTAAAAATTGCTCTATAAACTATTATAAACACCACTCATCTTGGTGTGCAAAATAAGCCAAAGATGGGAATAAAACAGAGGAAGGGAGACTGGGTAGAAGTCTTCTGGAATAATCTAGAAAATAATTTTCTATTTTTTGTCAAGTGCCCACCTGTCACTAAGAAGAGAGAAAAAAAAATTGTGGAATAAATTAAAAGGAAGACTGAGCAGAATTTAGTGATTGATTAGCTAAAGGAAATCAGATAGTGAGTAAAGGATGCATGCATGGGTTCAAGCCTGAGTGCCTGGAGAATTCTGGTACAACCGGCACAAGAAAACCCTTTCTTCTCCCACCCCCTGGCTCTGCTGTCTCAGGCCATTGCTCACCTGACATGTTGGGATGGTTGGCCGCTTTCTGAATTTCATTCACTTGCTCAGTGACTGTGCTGTGCAGGTCTGCTGCTTTGTCTTTTTCCAGAATGCCTTGTCATAACCATAGCAAAGGCATATGTGAATGTGTAGCTTTCAATTTTTTTGGAGTCTCAAACCCCACTTACAGATTGAGTATGAATACGTCTCTCTGGTTGCTTCCAAATCTTTTTTCTTTTCCGGATCATGCAGCTGTCTCAGGAAAGACTTTAGCATCTGTGGCTCTGTTAATGGGCACTGATAGAATCCTACACTTTTATGGTACATATTGTGTTTGGAACAAAATATTCTTTTTGGTCTCTTGATGTTACATATTTTCTCTTTTGTGTATAACATGGAGTTATATATACGTTCTTGTGTTAGATTCCACATCATTATAAAATAAAACAACAACAACAAGAACCTGGCTCAGCAATCGGCTTTTCCGTTCTCGCTGAATTGTTACGTTTACTCTGACTTTAAAGAAAATGGAAGAAACCGGGAGCGTGACACAAGATCATTTAACCAAATGATCTGTCCACTTGCTAGGGCCTGATTTTAGTGCAAGGTAATCCCAGGTGGGGCTGAAGCCATGGTTCTCTGGCTTTCTTTTTTTTCCTTTTTCTTGAATTTGATTGTTCCGATTACTAAAAATGCCTTGCATTTAGAAAAAGAACAGTTTTGAAATTGTACTGGGGTTAGATTAGCCAGGTTCAAGACTCTGACAAAATCATTTGAAAGATTGTTTTTAAGAGAGAAACTTTTAAATAAATATCTTATACAAAAACAAGTGACACATCATAAAAAATTTTGCAATGCTCTTCATTATTAGTAGCATAAATTGCCCAAACTCATTGCTCAGCTACTCCTGTGATCCAGGGCACATACTTGTGAGACAGCTGCCCTGAACTGGGGGAAGCCGAGCAAAACCCACTGCCTGCCTGGGGATGGCTGTGCTGGTCTCGGTCTCGGTAGTTCCTGGGCCCCTGCCAACAGGGTTAGTAAGAACTAGTATAGACCTGAGGTGAAAGTTTAACAGAAAGAGCCTCCATAGCAGCACAGGAAGAGCCCTTCTTCTACTCTTTGTTTCTCTACTGGCCACCTAGTTTGTGTGTGTGTGTGTGTGAGAGAGAGAGATTGAGAGAGAGAGAGAGAAAGAGAGAGAGAGAGTCTTGTGTTTTTCAGAAATACCACTTGAAGGATGGAATATTAAATGTCTGCGGGAAAAAGCAGTGTTTCAGGTTCTCAGTGTTTTAGTCAGCTGCTTTCTTACTTGTCCAGATTGTGAATATACTTTGAGGCTATTAAATTCTATTCCTGGTAATGAAAAAAGGGAGGGACTTGTTTGTTCTTTCCCAGTTGCTCTCGTGTCAGCAATAAATACCTTTGTCCTAAACACTTTAATTTGCCTTTTTTATTTATGCCAGTGGTGACAAAACAATTCTACTCATATTTATGAAGGAAAATAAGTCTCTGCCCTGAACTTTTGTGTTGAGAACATAGCAAGAAAAAAAGCTACCTGGGCTAGCCTTACATTTCATAGAATGAAATGTAAGAAACCTGGATTTTGGCGGCTGCTTTAACAGTTTGGCTCCCTGATAAGGGGCTGGTCTACCTTGGGTGTGGGAGAAGGGAGTGGTAAAGAGGACAGGAATCCTATTTAGATCATAGACAAAAAGAAACCAGGAAGTAAGGAGAAATTATTACAGTCTGCACGTAGCTCAGGATGTTAAAGGCAATAGCCTCGGCTGGTTGGTTATTCATTAGCAAAAAGGAAAGAGCCATCGGGACTGTTCTAACGACAGGAACAGACTTGAAGCAGGGAGACAGGTGCTGGCAAAGGCAAGGTGTGGAGATTGTACCTGGAGTTAGTATCTTTTTCTTCTTAACTTTTTCTTGGGACAAAAGGCAAGATGGCATCTTTTTGTTCTCCAATGTCTATCTAAATAAAATCCTCTTAGTTTTATATTTGTTGTGGGATTCTTCAGCAGACAAGAAGAAAAGACATCTTCCCATTGAGCAGCTGCCAAGCTCCCATTTGATTTTGCTCTGGGGCAGCAGCTGGGGACACAGAAAGCAAACCAGCGAGTCTCTCCAGGTAGGGCTTGCTTGACTTTTCTGAAACAGGACTTTGCACACTCTGGAAAGTATGGCGAGTTGGTGCTGATTTCTGCGTTGAGTGGTGGAGGAAGAAAAAGTGGATTTGCAGAGACTCAGGGGAGAGGGAGAAGCCTCCTGCCTCTTCTCCCCAACAAGACACCATGGGCAACGTCTGGGCAAGGATCCGGGCTTACTTGGAGCCCTGTCTCCCCTGCTTGTCCCAGGGGGCAGACAAGCCAGTGGTGATTGCCAATCCAGGGGCCCGTTGCTCCCCTGTCACTCCTCCTCGGTCCCAGAGGCAGGAGCCTGAGAGAAGCTCCAGCCACTACTTTGTGGCTCTATATGATTACCAGGCTCGGACAGCAGAGGACCTAAGCTTCCGTGCTGGCGACAAACTGCAAGTCCTAGACACTTCCCACAAGGGCTGGTGGTTTGCCAGGCACTTGGAAAAGAGGGAAGATGGCTACAACCAGCAACTACAGGGCTATATTCCTTCTAACTATGTGGCTGAGGACAGGAGCCTACAGGCAGAGCCGTGAGTAGTACAAACCCACACTTCATTTCTCAACTCTCTGGGGGCTGGGTAATGAGTTTTCCTTCCTACCTCACCACAACGCCCTAATTTCCAAAAATCTGCCCAGGAAGTATGAGGAAGTATTGGCAAGAATCCACTAATTGAAACATACCTCCCCCGCTATGTGAGAGTGAAACTGGCAGGTGATTGTTGCCAAAATGACTTCAGTGACAGTATTATAATGCTGGTTGCCCTTTTTGACCTAGCCTGGGATATGCTTAAGTACACAAGATATAGGCTCAGATGATCTGGATTTGAATCTGGCTCTGTCATAACTTAGCTGTGTGACCTTTAGCAAATTATTTGACTTCTCTGCCTCAGTTTCTCATCTGTAAAACAGGAATAATAATGACACCTATCTCATAGGACTGTTATGCGTGACATAAATGAGACTCTGCAGAAAATGTGCACTGTAGAGAATATGACACATAGTAGGGTTAATAAATATGATGTTTTATTTAGTTGGCAGCTCTTCTTTTACTTCTGTCTAAATGAATCATACTTTGTATATTCTCACTGTAGTAGTCTGAGCTCACAATATTCTTTCCCTATATCAGTTGTGCTGCATGCTGAGCATTTTTCAGTCTTTAATAGTGCAATGATCATTTTCACCTGTGGGTTGGTCTTCAGATGGGCTGTTCTCTCTGCCTGCAACCCTCTCCTTTCTCTTCTCTTCTTGACCAGCTCTAACTCATCCTTCAGGTCTCACCTTATTTGTTCCTTCCTCCAAGACTTTCCTGACATTCTCCAGAAGTCCTCAAACTTTTTAAACAGGGGGCCGGTTCACTGTCCCTCAGACCATTGGAGGGCCGTACTATATAGTTTAAAAAAAACTATGAACAAATTCCTATGCACATTGCACATATCTTATTTTGAAGTAAAAAAAACAAACGGGCAAAAACACCTGCACGTGGCCTGCGCGGGCCGTAGTTTGTGGACGCCTGTTCTAGACTACATTCAGTGTTTCTGCTTAGAGCCATTAGCATCCTTTGTCACTATTGCTAATTTATTTTCTGCAAGAGTATAAACTGTGGATCAGGAGTGTGGCAAGAGGAGCCATTGCTACTCTGGAGCTTAGGGCAATGCCTATGTATAATAAGCACTGGTTGGGTAAAGGAATGATTGCTTATCTACCGATCTGGGGTCTTTTAAAGAGCAGCTGACAGCTCCCTCTTTTCAACTGTTCTTCTCTGAGTTGCTTTTTTACGTATCAGGAAAATCTACATTAAAGGCATAAGCCATTTTGTATTTTTTTCTCAATGAATTGTCATGCCTTAATTTTTGGTTTGACTCACAGTCATTAAAACATAATTTCCAGGCTTCCAGAAATTAGTTCCTCTAATCCACATCTTGGGAGAAAATACTTAGGGGCATAGACTGATTCAAATATTCTTTGTAATGTAGAATGAATATCAAGCTAAGAACAGATTGTAAATCTTCTTGAAATGACATAAAAAAATCACATATACACATATTAAATTATGCCATGGCTATATTCAAAGTAGAGAAATTACTAGATAGAGCTTTTAAATGGACAGCAAACCAAAACCTAATTTACAAAATTAATGTTGTGGGGCCAGACTTGTAATTTCAGTTTTTATGTTCAATGTACATAATTTCTAATTATATGTATATGAAATATTTTTTAGCATATGTGTGCTGAAAGTTTGACTCTTTACTGAATATTAATAGCCTTTCACTGTTACATTCTAAAATATTATCAAATATAATTATATCTTCTTTTTACTAGTTTTCTTGCTAATTAACTATTAATTTCTTTGCAGCGTTCTCTGCAATCTCTAATGTGAATTCTTAGCACTTCTTAGCACTGAAAGGATTAGGCCAGTTTCTTGAGAGAAGGTAGTTATGCAGATTAATAGCAACTTTAATGGTATTTCAGGGCTCCTTATAGCTATTTTCCCAAAGCCTGCAACTTTAGTATTAGTTTATGTGGCTGTTTCCTTGAAGATTAATGTAACAGAAGAATTTTGCTAAAATGCACAGATGCAAATGTAGATTATGTGATCTCTATTACCCACCTTATTGCTTATTTGGCTAAATTCAGATACTATAATAGACTATCCCTTGTGTAATATCTGTCTGTCACAATGTTATTTTTTTTCTACAAAGATTTTTAGTTAAATGTTTTTCTATTTAAAAATTGAATGTCAATTTATATGTCAGATTCTTTAATGTTTTTATTTATGACTTCTTTTTTTACCTGCCATATTTTATAGTGCCTTTAAATTAAGACTAAATTATAAATTAGAGATTTTCAAAAATGATTTCTGTGCTTTTTTAAGGGTAAAATGAAAATGTAATTCAAGAAATGCAATTAATAGGAACCTTTGAACTTTATGCTAGGTATCTAGTTTGAAAGGCCTTTAGAATAATATATCAACTATAAGTATTTTCATTAACAAAATTGTTGCATACCACATTGGCATCATGGTTTGGATGAATCAGAAAAATCCCACAAGGTTCCTCTGAAAGGCCAGTATTGTTGATATATTTAAGGCTACGGTGATGCTAGCCTAATCTCACATATGCATTTTTGCCATTTCTGAATATTAATTAATAATGACATTCCAAGACACCATCCCGTGAGCCCCAGAATTGTGCTGCCTGCAAAGTCACTACCAGAGAATCATTTCTGGAGAGCGCCAGTTGCACTTTTGTGAAGCAGTCTTCACACTTTCTCCAATGTCTTTTCACCATTTCTTGTCATTGAGGAAAATAGTTTCTATGGGAGTCAGATATCCATTCAACAAACTTTTGTATATATTTACTCTATTAAAGGTACTTTTAAAATTTTTTATTTATTTTTTTTTATCTCTGGAGAGATTCCTTCCTTCTGCTTTTCCCATAGTACCATAGAGGCTGAGAGAACAAGAATAGAAAAAGGCCGGCGACTGATTGGTACCACTTCCCGGCCTGGCTTCACTCCTCCAGACCCAGCCCGCCACTCTCGCGAGATCCCTTTCTTCCGCCCTTCCCGTGTACATCCCAGGCTGTTAAAGTGCGCATGCCTTAGCCATAGCAGCCATTTTTTAAATGGAGGCACTATTTGCATATAGTAAACATATCTTGAGGGTATAGATGGATGAATTTTTACATGTGTGGCCCACGTCACCTGGGTACTTTTTTTATATAGTGGGAGATACAAAAATTAATAAGGTAGTGATCTTCTCCAGAGAATTTAATAATCTCAGGAGACAAGAGTAATAATCAGAAATGTTATGATGATGCCCTTCAGCGCAAGTGCACCAGGAACGTATCTGTAGTGGTTTATTACTCATTGCAGGGAAGGAGACCACGGATATGGGTACAGAATCTCAGTAATAGGGTGTTAGAAAGGCCTCATTATTAGATTTTTGGGGTGTGTTTTGGGGGAAAGTTTAAGAAAGGAGAGCATTGCTCTGGATGGGATGTTTTCTGGATGTGGAGTATTTTATGTTTAATTGAGTATTTTAATAAATCTTACAGAGAAAGAGGGAAGAATAAAGCTATATATAATTGGTCAAGAAACATCAGTCACTCAGGTGAGCCAAGATGGGTGAATGTTTGATCATTTTTGAGGTTGGACAACATTCCTGCTTTTGTGGGCATTTAGACATGATTATGGAGTGATCATGTTTTTGTCTTGATCCATCGTGGTCACAGAGTGGCTTTGTCTGATGTTGATGTTCGGTGAGATTGTTTATGTTCAACAGAGGACACCAAGGCTTAGCCATAAACGCCAGGCCAGGTCCTGGATGTCAGCACTGATTTTCACTTTCTCAGTTGGCATAGACAGATGCTGATAAATGCCGTAAGATAGGGCTGGGGAAACTTTTCATGTTAAAAGGCCCCATTAATGTAGCTGTAATCAAATAAGGCTGCATTCAAGAAACTTCAATTAGATGTACTTAAAAATGTACATTATTTTATAAAACTCTAACTACTATGTACTTAATAATTTCAAAAAATGAAAACTATTTGTTAATTTTAAAGTTAACCTTTTAACGAATTCGTTGTGTCTGCTTTTTGTTGGAAAACATTTGAATATTTGGTTGCAGCATGGAGGTCTGGAGTCTTAGTTGATCTTCTAGATGGATATCAGTCCTTTGTAACTGTAAGGGCATCTTGATTTACATTAGGTACGGGAATGTTGATTCATGGCAATAAGTGGTTGAAAAGCAAGAAAGCATTTTCAGGCATGTTGCTGAAGGTGTGGGTATTCTACTGCATTTTTCCATATTTCCAGTGGATCTTCCTTAGTAGCAACCAATGACTTTAAGATGTCATGTACTGAGAGCTCAATCAATTCCATCTGTAGTTCTTTAGGTGCTTTGGTGATATCAACTAGGTGAGGCTGAAATGCTAATTTGAGTGTGATGTCATGATTGTCAAAGTCAGTGAATGTTTCATTATATTTTCTAATTAATAGGTCTGTAACAGCTGTGTATTCTTCAAATGATTAGCATATATCATCCTGCTCATCAATGACCTTTGTTAACTGGGGAAAATGTTCATCTGAAATTTCCTTTTGAAGAAGAACTCTTTTTGAAAAAAGATAGCTTTTCAAAATGCTTGGGTTTTTCACCACATGTCATATACAGACTTAGTTTTACTTTGCAAAGAAATATTCAGGTCATTTTGATTTGATATGATATCACACAGAAATGCTGCATTCCTATAGAAATCTTCTTTCAATAATTCACATTTCTGATTCTGTTCTTCATAAAATTTAACTATCTGTTCTTGCAGAGATAAAATTTTGGCTTAAACAGAAACACAATGCACTGTTGTCAAAATTTGATAACATACTAGTGTATTCGACCACCATAAACTCTCATCAACCAGCTTCGTGTGATAGTGGTTCCAGTCAGGCAGGGCAAGTTAGAACTAAATTGTGAGTGAAGCAGCCATCAATTTAGCCCTTTCAGCTTATTAATGTTCTAATTGTGCTGGTCAATCTG